ACAATAAACTCATAGACCGAATCAAGTAATTACGATTTTTCTGTTAAAAATTTCATTTATTTTCACAGAATATTAGATACTAGAAAAAAGATTTGATATTATATAAACAATGTCTTGTCGACCTCAACTAATTGGCAGATCACCTTTGGGACAATTGAAGTCTGAAGGATTATTAACATCGTTAGTATTATTGTTGTGCTTTACTTTTCAAAATATATTCCTTAAATATATTGCCGATAATAATAATTATTATTAATATCATAGATTTTTATTACTACTTTATATGTTTCTCAATGTTCTATCTCTTTTTTTCATACTTTAGAGGATGTAAATATCATTCATGTCAAGGAAAGCTAACCATTCCAAATATTTGTCAAGATTTGGTATGTCAATTCAAATTGACTTCATATAGGTATTTAAGCTAACAGTTATAGTCTATATGTTTTAGAAAATTTCATAATATATTCCTTTTTGTTAACCAGAGAAAGACTAATAAAGAAGCTCAACTAATTCTTCCTACTATTTCTTTGTTTCTCTTCTCTACTCTATTATACGCTTTTTTAAGCTGACTATCCTCATATACACTTCATATTGTGTAATTTTAAGGATTAATTATATTAGATAATTTAAAAAAAAAGCTTTAATCTACTTTTACCATATCCATATATCCATTCATGGTATCTTACTATTTATTATTTGTATGTTTCCATGTCTATCACCTTACAATCGACGTATACTTTTACTTATTATTGGTAGTTATGTAGTTATTTTTCATTCTTACTATTGACTGATAAATTGCCTTGATTGCTCTTATATTTTCAATGTATACACAGAGGCATTAGTTTAACTAATATAATATCTAAAATACTAGCTTCGATAATTATCAGACGCCTAACTAAGACTCGTGAACTGCAAACACGAGAGAATCAAGCTGGCTTCAGACCTGGTCGTGGCTGCATCGACCACATATTCACCATTCGTCAGATTCTAGAACACAGGCATACTTATCGGCGTCCGACAATGGTGGTTTTTCTCGACTTAAAAGCAGCATTTGACTCGGTAGACCGCGAGATTCTGTGGCAGTGTCTGTCATTGAAAGGCGTACCACAGAAGTACATAAACCTTGTGAAGGCTTTTTACTCGAACACTACTAGTCGAGTGAGAGCTTACAGCGAACTGTCATCTACTTTTGCAACCTCAAGTGGTGTCCGTCAAGGCTGTCCACTTTCTCCATTTTTGTTTAACTTCATCATAGATCTACTGATGGAAATAACTTTCTCGTCGACTGAGTTCTCGGGTATTGATCTCCATCCAGGAGGTCCACTTATCGACTTAGAATGCGCAGATGACATAGTCCTGTTTGGTGAAGACGCTGACAAAATGCAGAGTCTTCTGGTAGCACTAAGCAACAATGCCAGAATGTTTGGAATGCGCTTCTCTCCCTCGAAATGCGAGTTGTTGCTTCAGGACTGGTCTGCGTCAACACCTGAACTAAGCATAGAGAGTGAAGTAGTCGAACGCGTTGACAACTTCACTTATCTTGGAAGTGTGATCAGCCCTAATGGGTTGGTGTCTGACGAAATCTCAGCACGGATTCGAAAAGCTCGTTTGGCTTTTGCCAACTTACGTCACCTGTGGCGAAGGCGAGATATCCGTCTATCAATAAAAGGACGGGTATACTGCGCGGCAGTCCGTTCTGTTTTAATTTACGGCTGCGAAACATGGCCATTAAGAGTAGAAGACACTCGTAAGCTACTAGTATTTGACCACAGATGCCTTAGAAATATTGCTGGCGTCTGCTGGGATCACCGGGTGAGTAATATTGAGGTTAGACGCAGGGTATTAGGGAATGATGGTAAATCGGTTGATGAGGTTATGAATCTTCATCGACTGAGATGGTTGGGCCACGTGTTACGTATGCCTGAACACCGATTACCACGACGTGCAGTGCTATCCGGTATTGGAGATGGTTGGAAGAAAGTTAGGGGCGGCCAAACCAAAACGTGGCATCAGTGCTTGAAGACACTAACTTCTAGTCTGAGCCATGTTGGTAGATGCAGACTACTTGGTTGGGGTCCGCGTGACTTTCGTAACCAATGGTTGGAGACTGTGTGTGACATGGCTCAGAATCGATCGCAATGGCGTCGGTGTATACACTCCCTGTCTTCCCTTAAACTAAGAGATTAAAATCACTTCATATCTTTCCTTCTACGAACCAATTCTTTCTTCTTGTACTATATCTCTATATGCAATCTTTCTCTTATATATTACCACCTTTGATCTAACCACTGCTGTGAATCCGGTGTTCATCTTGTTGTGCTGATGCGGTATGGCAACCTGGACCGATGCACATATGTGCCTGGTCCTACGTTGTAGCTGACTGACTGACGGACTATTTTTTTTTTTTTTTTTTTTTTTTTTTTTTTTTTTTTTTTTTTTTTTTTTTTTTTTTTTTTTTTTTTTTTTTTTTTTTTTTTTTTTTTTTTTTTTTTTTTTTTTTTTTTTTTTTTTTTTTTTTTTTTTTTTTTTTTTTTTTTTTTTTTTTTTTTTTTTTTTTTTTTTTTTTTTTTTTTTTTTTTTTTTTTTTTTTTTTTTTTTTTTTTTTTTTTTTTTTTTTTTTTTTTTTTTTTTTTTTTTTTTTTTTTTTTTTTTTTTTTTTTTTTTTTTTTTTTTTTTTTTTTTTTTTTTTTTTTTTTTTTTTTTTTTTTTTTTTTTTTTTTTTTTTTTTTTTTTTTTTTTTTTTTTTTTTTTTTTTTTTTTTTTTTTTTTTTTTTTTTTTTTTTTTTTTTTTTTTTTTTTTTTTTTTTTTTTTTTTTTTTTTTTTTTTTTTTTTTTTTTTTTTTTTTTTTTTTTTTTTTTTTTTTTTTTTTTTTTTTTTTTTTTTTTTTTTCTATTGTCTAATGAACTGAAACAGATCAAACGATTTTTTTGAACCTTAAAAATAACTGACATACATTTTGGTTGTAAAGGTATTTATAAATTACATCCTAATGAAGAGGAGTAGGATTAGTCTGGAAAGAAACTATAGGTGAGCAAACCAAGACGTGATGCCAGTGCATAAAGTTTTTGATAAACTTATTAAGTCATATAAATAGCAGGTGTAGAACCTGCATAATTATAGTAATCTGTGGTTGGAGATTTTTGGTGAGATGTCTCAGAGTCGTTTGCAATAACCCAGGTCCATTTACTGATTGACGTTTTTAGAATGCGAAATCTCCATCCACCTGTTTATTTCTCTCTTTTTTATATCTAATCTTTACTATTAATACTGTGAATACCTCTACTACTCTAGAGTCTATTTTGATAATTGCATCTCGGTTTACTAGTGTGGTGTATCGTTTCGAACCGATGTACATATATGTCAGGTTCAACGTTGGACTAATAATTACTATAGATTTAAGTGATTAATATCTTTTTCAGAAAAATGAGCATAGCGGACTGTTATATCAAGTGATTTCCATCTATTTATAACCAATAAATAATGACAGTAATAATTAAGCAAAGATGGATAGTGGCTAGCAGTGGAATCCAGCAACTCAGAATAACTATCAACCAATATCGAAGTCAGAACGCGATGGAGTTTGAAGCGAACATTACTGGGTTCGAGTCCCGGAGTGAACACCAACTGTGAGATGCAGGTACATCCAGCTGACTAGTCATAAATAAGACGAAACGCGCGTCCTAGATTCCACTGTTAGCCACTATCCACTTTTGCCTAAAATGCTTGTGATTTAAGGCTATATCAAGGCAGTCCGCACAGGATGCACATATACCAACAAGTGACTGACCACTTGTAGTCCTAAATAACAATAGGAAGATACAAGTAAAACAACACCAAGTGAATTTGGACAGTAATAACTATTTAAAACTAGTTTACTTACTTTATACGACATTATAGACGATTAGTAAAGTAAACAAATTGTCTGTAAATTTATTAAATAATTATAAAATGTTCTGACGTTTAGATATTTTCATGGTTTAAATCACTGACTAATCTTAGCTAGATCAACTTTGAAACCCTGTTAACTCTGGACAGCTGTTTTGTCCCTAGTATTCACTACTCTGCCATAGAGGCTCGAACTTGGAGCCTTCGTTCAGTCTCTAGACCATTGAGCCTTTGTCCACTAGTGTACGTGTCTAACTTCAATCATTCTGAGTTATTGTGCAGCCCTCATTCATTGTGTACGGTGGATTAAACTCCACTATCCAAAGCTTAAATACTTGTTTCACTAATGTAAAGATCATCAAAAAAAATTTAAAAACGCAAAAGCTCCTAGAAAATGAAAATGAATGTCAAAGATGGAAACCTTCACGTACTTCAACAGCATCATCGATGAACAAGGAAGATTCGATTCAGACGTAATAGTGAGGATTTTCACGGTAAGGGCAGTATTACTACATTTAAAAAACACATGGAACTCAAATCAACTATTAACCAATGTCAACGTAAGAATCTTTAATATGAACGTCAAGACAGTTCTACTGTACGGATCTGAAATGTGGAGAACTTCTACAACCATAATCAAAAAGTACAATTATTTATGAACAATTGTCTACACAAGATACTTGACGTCTGTTGGTCGGATGCCATCAGCCTCAGCCTACTATGGGAGAGGACAAACCAACTTCCATCTGAACAGGAAAGTAGGAAAAGACGTTGGAAATGGATAGGACATACATTGGGGAAATAATCAAACTGTATCATGAGGTAAACCCCAACTTGGAATCCTGAATTGAGAAGGAAAAGTGAAACACCAAGGAACATACTGTTTCAGGAGTTGGAAGCAGACATAAAAAAAGAAAATGAACTGGAAAGGATTTTCCATGACAGTTGGATCGAGAATGTTGATACATGGCTTATGTTCCACCACGAGAGGTAACAGGCGTAAGTAAGTACATTTGTTATTATTAATTCGTGAAATAGTATGGAGAAAAAGAAAGAGAGAGTAACAAGTTTTCTTTCCCTTACATCATTATTTTTTTTCTTCTCAATCATATAGACATTATTGTTCATCCACCGAAATTGGATAGTCGTCATGCATTAAGTGGATGGTTATGTATGCAACATAATTTAGTGAATAAAAAGATTGGCAAACCGTTATTTGATTGTACTCATGTATTGGAAAGATGGCGATATGGTTGGAAAGATAATGATGATTGTAGATTACCAGAACAAGACTAGTAACATTTTCAATGACTTGTCTTTTAATATATATATATAATGTATGTGTGTGTGTGTGTTTGATGATTGTTCAGAATTCCTTTCGACCTATATTCTCTTGTTCCTATGTTTGTTCAGTAGTATCTTTCATTATTACTAAGAAATAATGAGTAGTATGATAGTGTACACAAATAATTCATTTAGTATGAAAATATATGTATTGGACAATTTGAATTGATATTTCAGTGATGTTTGTTTTTATTTTATATTAAAATTAGAAAAATATACCTGGTATTTGCCAATTTGTATCATTTGTAGTGTAGGCTGGGATATTTATCTTTGATGAGTTCACTGTTTAGTAGTTAACTCACTTCTACGTGATGAATGTAAAACATGATCATTAAGATTAAAGGATATTTGTAGGTTACTAATATTCGATCATCAGTGTCTTCGAAGCATCACTCGTTCATTTTAGGATCTTTAAGCAGACAGTCCTGAGGTTAGTTCTCTCTCATTTGATTCCAATAGATGATATGCTGTTAGCTTAGTATTTTACCGGTCCGATCCTTGTAGTATTACTATGAACTTACTTGACCATACTCAAAAGCCAAAGTACCAGGTGTTGCTAGAGTCTATTGTCAATAATTAATAAAATCCACAAGTATGAGAGAGGCAAACAATGGACAGTGAATGAATGTGTGTGTGAGTTAAAAGTAGAAATGTGATATATACTACTAATGTCTATCGAAATAAGTAGTATGTAACACCAACCGAAAGTTAAATGGCTGGCAGCAGAAGGTTAAGAAGATCGAATTGAAGAAAACAGAAAGGAATTGTGAATTGGGAGATATTCTGTAATTTTGCATGAAATAATAAATTGGTTCTCCGCATCTGAGTTCTCGTTTATTAGAGAAATATCAATGTACATTTTATAAGTGTTAATCAATTGTAAGTTATTGGTTGTCTTTATCTACAACCGATGGGCGACCAGATAAAGATTGAGATGCAGTAATACGTTCAATCAAACCTACATTTTTTTGCATAGTGGGTTAATTGCTTAGATTGCAGCTTGTAATAGAAAAATTCAATGGACTTACTATAGGGGTAGGGTATTGAGTAATGATGTAAAATCAATTGATAAGGTAGTAAATCCTCTTCTGAGACGGTTGGGACAGTCAGTCAGTCACTAACAAAGTAGAACATCGTACGTACGTACATCAGTTCGAGTTGCCATACCACATTAGCACAAGGATGCAGTTGTCGATTCAAATCCCATAGTGGTAGAGGTAGTAAGAGTATAAGTAGTAATCGGAAAGATTAGGTTTTGAAGATGTTATTCAAGGAGTATAATCCAGTGAAATAAATTTCGAAGGCGAAAAAGGGGACGAAGAATTCAGAAGATTGGAATTCGGGAAAACACAAAGAGTGGATGCACCTGCGTCATTGGGACATGTATTACATATTTCTAAAAACCACTTAACTTGATTGATGATGTCTGGTCTAAGAGTAGGTTAGAGATCACAAGACCAAGATTTAGCACTAGGTCCATGAGGTCAGTGACACTTGGACTGAACTATGTAGGTAGATATGGATTACTGGGTTAAGGTGTCCGGCGTACATTAAAGTGAACAATATTGTCTTCAGTTAGTTTTTTTCTTTGTTTTACCAGACTTTACTCCGATAAACAGTAATATGAAACTAATCTTGGCAATTTGTGAGTCAATAACTGTTATATAACTAGTCGTATTATGGTATGTATACTAGTAGAGATAGGAATAATACCAAATTGAATAAATATTTCAATTGGGGAAGCAGATTTCAGAATATGGGTAAAGATACACTTTAGAATAACAATCAAGAATAGTTAAAATTACGTAACAGGTTGTGTTTAAATAAACAGTACAAATAGATAATGGAAAAGTGGTTCGAAAGTACTGAAACGTTAGTGAAGTTTATCAATCTAGGACGCGCGTTTTGTCCTATTTGGTGCTGGTCAACTGGATATACCTGCATCTCACAGTTGATGACCACTTTTGGACTCGAACCCAGTACCGTTTGCAGGACTCAGTAGCTAAGTGGATAACACGATGACGTTTGAAGCGAACGGGACTAGGTCCGAGTCTCGGAGTGAACATCAACTGTGAGATGCAGGCGACGAGTGCTAAATAGGGCGAAACGCACGTCTTCGATTCCATTGCTAACCACTATCCATCTTTGCTTAGAATTGGATGATGGTTTATGAATCATGATTAAGATGAAATATGTGTCCTAGATTCCACTATTAACCATCATTCAACTCAGCTCAAAATATTAACACGATAAAAACTGCACAAATAGTATATTACATAAATAAAATCAAATTAATCAGTAAAGTGAATCGTAAAAACAATCTTTAGAATAAAAACGAAAAAGGAATGGAATCCAGGAGGAAGTTATTGAGATTAGCAACTTTATGTTTAATGTGACAAACATCAATGAAATTCTCGGTATAGATTCATGTTAGTCTAGGTTACTATACTAAGTTAACAAGACGAAATGAAAACAACAAAATGAAAAGATTACACTAATGTAGTAGTGATAGAAAAGAAAAACTAAATTATAGGAATGTAATTTAAAAAGACACTGGAAAGGTATGTATCAAAGGATTCTAAGACTCAAGATCGAGAAGAACTTAGAGTGTATGCATCTGAGCCACTTTGGATGATTCATAACTATGTCAATGAAACTGACAACCAAATGTGATTATCACATGAACCCTAATTTAATTTAAAACAAAAAGTTATTGAATATTGTAAGGCAGACATAGTGAAATTTTCATACATACCTATACTGAACAAGTATTATTATTTGTTTGAACACATAAATATTGGTACAAAGGAGCATCGAATACATAAATGCCACACAAGTCACTTGATTTGTGTTTGGGCTATGATACTGCCTGGATGCTCAAACTGAAGCAGATGGTTTCTTAAGGGGCTACTCCCTGAGCCTTTGACCTAAAAAGCTGATCCACAAGGTGGTGGAGCAACGCCAAGAGATGCAGTCCCATGGTAGACGGTGACCAACGATTGGTTCATACACCATTTGTTCTTTTACACTCCTGGAGTCCATATCCACTGTTTGTTTGGAATCAGGGTCTTCCGACTGCACTAGATGGATCCTCCATATTCACCAAGCTGGTTAAAGCGCCGGACATTCGCTTTTCGTCCCATTAATTTCATAGAAAACACCCGCGCCCTTGAGAAGTCAGTGAGTTAGACTTTCCTGATAGTGGCTGTATATGCGTGGCCATAACAGAGCATTTGGGGGCATTGTTATTATTATTACTATTACCATTACTACAATTATAATTATCATTATTACAATTACTATTATTACTATTACTGTTATTACTGTTACTATTATTATTACTATTGGTATTAATATTGTTACTACTACTACTACTACTACTACTACTACTACTATTATTATTATTATTATTATTATTATTATTATTATTATTATTATTATTATTATTATTATTATTATTAATGGCTCTTATTAGATTTGATTTACATTCTCTGTCCTGATTCACTTCCTTTCGACTCTTTTGTGTATTTTGTTTTATACTACTTATTAATATTCAGTAAACAGTTGTGTTCCTAGCAATTTTTACGCATGCGTTTGTCGTGTAATATTCTGAAATATTTACATATATTTTATATTTGTGATTATAATTAATCTCAATCATTGTCATAATTGTTCACAATTTTGTCCATTTGTTTAACTATTGTTTAAACGCAACAGTTTCCATATTGTTTGCTCTTGGTTCGGTTTTTGTTAGTTGATAAACTGTTATCAAGTTTAGACAATACTAACAGCTCTCTTCTGAACTATCGTATGTTGTAATTGTTCTTCATATTACTATTAAAGGAAGCGCATTTTATTTCAAACAATAAAACGTGGTAAACGCCATAGATACCATACAAGTTTAGGTTTGTAATAAATTTTTGTTTTAGATAAATTGTTGCTTTGTAAACATCGATTTTATGTGTATCTCATTTGGGTAATTTGGACGTCTCAATAGACTTAATAGTCCTATTGAACATTATGTGTTTAGTACAATATAGAGTACTCGATACAAAGTGTTTTAACAAGTTTCTTTCTCTAAACAAAAACGAAGTAAAAATAATCTATAACTGCACACCTATTTATACGTGAATGAAATAGATAAACTACTGTAGGAATTTCAATGAAATGTCTTTTCTCTGTAAAGTAGATTTCAATCTGTACAATTTTTTAAATTAGAAATATTTTAAAGAATACAAGTTACTGACTATGTCAATTCTAATAGTGTTTCGCCCCCCTCAAATACTCTGGTACGGCCAAGAGTAGGAAGAGTCCGCTCACCCTCTCGAAATGCTCTCATATGGCCACGCGTATATAGCCCCTGCCAGCGAAGTCCTACTCACTGCCTTCTCATGGCGGGGCTGTTGTTTACGAAATTGAGAAGACGAAAAGCGAATGTTCGGCGCTTTAACCGGGTTGGTGGACATGGATAGTCCACCTAGGGGAGTTGGAAAACCCTGATTCCAAACCAGTGGTGCACATAGGCCCCAGTAACCTGAAGGAACAAATGGCGTATGAACCAATCGTTGGATATTGGCTACCATATGACTGCATCTCCTTACGATACTCCACTGCGTTTTGGATCAGACCTTCAGGTCGAAGGCCCTGGGTGTGGTCCCTTAAGAAAACCACCTGTTTTGGTTTGGGCACTCGTGTAGTATCACAGCCCTCATACATATCAAAAGAGATTTGTGTGGCGCATATGTATTTGGTGCCTCCTTGTACCAATATCTATGTGTTAAAATAAAAATAATAAATTCGTCATATAGTGCAATTCCAGAACACCGGGGTTTGCTATACAAAATGCAACTTGAAAAGCTGAACCTTTTTACTTTGCTCTACTACAAATTAAGAAGTGATCTAATTTTGATGTACGGAATGCTATGAAATGATTTTGGAACTAATGTACTCTGCCATTTTCTTCGCATTAGATTGGGACATTTTAGAGGATATAGCAGGTGAGTAGAATAGCAAAGAATGAACAAAATACCCATGAAATATAGGTTTTCACATCGAGTCATCAATTTTTGGAACCTGTTATCCGAAGCAATAGTGTCCACATCTTCAACTGACTTATTCAACAGAAGACTACTAGAAAAGGAATAACATAAACCGTAGGCTTTCTGTCCTTGGTACACAAATCTGAAATCTAGTATAATTGCTAGATAAGGTGTTGTAGAGCTTAGATATAT